CCCCCCCCCCCCAAAGATCTGGTTGAACCTAAAAACATCCCCCCCCCCCCCCCCCATTTGACATTAGTGACCCCTTGGTCCTCTCACCTGGGTCTGGTTGACAAGTGGGGATGGAGAGTAAGCATCCCCAGGGAAAGGGGATGGTTCTCACTTGGTTCTCTAATACTCTAATGTGGTGGGAGATGAGATGGGGAGAATGTATCTATTACATTTTTATATAAAAACCTGAAGATACATGATGTGACTTGAAGGGTTCTCTTTTTGGCTGTTTATAAATCTTTTCTGGTGCCTAATCTACATAGTCTTCTGTGCGTTCATTGTGCTATGTTCTGACTCTGTTGAGAAGTTCTCCCTTTTGCCAAAAGTCCACGATTCTAAAAGGTGAGCACAGTCGCTCCTCTTCATCCAATTATTTCATTCTAAAGATGGAATGGTTGATGGATATTGTCTACAATAAATATACCTAATTTCTAATGAACCTTAGGCCTACTACTGTTGTCCAAGAGCTCGTTTCGCAGATAGTGCGTCCGCGCGATCAGCAAATTATTGCCCGGGATATTGAACACAGACCTGCCATGGACGCACTGGTTTTTACTAATTACTCGTCGGTCTACTTGCAATGCAAAGTCCAAGGCCCTGATTCCCAACCTTGGGCTACGTGAACCAATCATCATAAACAATGGCTATACTGCTAAGAGTCGTCCAAAGTTAGGCCTAAAATACTGGCGATCAGTGGGCAAGTCGTGTCTCTCCCAGAGACATGATGGTCTCTCCCAACCCAGGATGCGGCCATTACTACTTAATGGACCTTGCGCCGCAGGAAGTTTACTATCACGGTTGTCAGGTATGTGGTATGCGTTCGTACTGGGAGAAGCATGGAGGATCCATCGAAGGCCAAACGATTTCGCAAATCGGCACTATCAATGACCTGACGGCTAGAAAAACCTTGTTTCAACTTTTTCCTCCGTCAAAGACATTTCTTCAGGGTGCAGTCATGCACCAAATGCATGGTCTCTTCACAACCTTGGGATTAACATGCACGCAGGGGCGGATACAGAAATTTTTCATAGGGGGGACGGTTCCCAAGTTCCTACCTACCTCCCCCTCCCCCCCCACCCCCGCCTACCACCATTCCTCGTCCTTTCTCCTTTTTTATTTTTCGCCTGGGGTAAGAATTTGAGTATCTATTTCACTAACTCCAATAAAATTTAATGCAGATGCTATTTTGAATAAATAAATCAAATGCTAACCTGGCCATAGGTGGGGGGGGGGGGGGGGGGTGGTCGCCCCCCCC